CCGATATGTGTTATTTAAATGAACTTGAGCTTGAACAAAAGATAGTAATCTCAATATTTCATTAGTACAATTACAAGGAACTGACCAGTTAATACTCAATTTGTATTTAATTGGACTTTTAATTTCAAATGAACTCGATCCCTTTAGTGAATATATAAAACATTCATTAGTATTTGTGCTTAGGTTTTATTTGGTGATAAAATCTTTACACATGTGCGTCTTATATACTCCAAAATTTCTCAAATAAATGTTTTAGAAAACAAAAATTCCCCAAAATGTAAGAAAACAAGATATGAATCATTACTTGACATTACAACACACCTTTGATTAATTAATCATCTAATACATGTATATGTTTTGTCCTCAACCATATGCATACAAAACAGTTCAAGATCGATGGCTTATGATTAAAGTAAATGTCAACAAATAAACAACTGAATTGCTATAGATAATTTACCTATTTAATTGAAATATATACATAGGATTTCCCGTTATTTGTAGTTGGATATGATTTTTATCCAACGAGTTGTGTGATTTTTATCCCCGAGCCTTGGCGAGGAGATAAAAACATACAAGGAGCTGGATGAAAATCATATCCAACTACAAATCATAGGAGATTCTTTTTATCCCATGTTTAATGCTTAACAACCGATGTTATACACTGGTTTATATAGCACTCCACTTTATTTTATTTCATCACGCTAACGCAAAAACCATTGTGACGTCATAACTGCACTTTAGTGTGGGATACGAAAAATTTATCCAATGGGTCATATCCACGGGATAAAGGGGTAAACATGGGATAAAATTTGATATTAAAGTTTAAACCGTTCATATATTTCAGCAAAACACCTCAATTCTGTAAAAGAAATAATAAGAACCAAATTATTTTTTTAGAAAGAAAGACAGAGAAAGAAAATGTAACCTTCGGTATGTGTTGCAATAGAATTTAATACTGACTTAATTAATAAACAGAAATTCATCGTTTGTATTCAGACAGAGTTTATAAAGACCAATAGTAAGATCAACACCTTTGTGTCTGAACAATATCAAAAGTAAGTTCATGCAATGTAGGTCAGAATTAAAATTCAATCAACTTCAGTGTTGATTTCAGCACATTGTAAAAGGGTATAATTCATACAATATCTACTGTCGTAATCAATATAAATTTATTTTTTCAATGGTTCATGTAGCTGAATAGATGAGAAGATAATCAATAGCACCGTTTTGAATACTAGATAGCTTTAAATTAATATCAGTCTCTGTGTTTCATTGAAAAAATAAATCATTCACAAACAGATCTGAAATGTGCCAATGTTTCTTTTTAATTTTATCGAAGAGAATTCCACTGCATGAAAAGTCGCGTTTAATATAATTTAATAAATTCGTTTACTCCAGTAAATTTCTTGTACATGTATTGAATTTAATATATGTATAACGGTAAATTTTACATGAGATATATTGTGATATAATTAAATACAGTTTTCAAATAAGTATAATCATATTTAATGCAAAATACGTCGAGAATAATATAGTTTAATTGAGATAATTATACGTCCCGTTTAAGAATATCGACATGTAAAAGTAAATATGCTTATACTTAAAGTTTAAGTACATTTTTGGTATTTTGAATATGTCATAAATAATTCTTTATACCTAATGTAAACTTATGTTGAAACATTTTTGAAAAAAAAAATATTTAGGCACCCTATTCATTTTAATTTATTTATTTCTCATTTTTATTTATTTAACCCTTATGTAGATTTTTCAAAACTGTGGAATATAACTTAGTTTTTTCTCTATCGACTACCATTGTACTACAATTACATCGGGATCGAAGTCGGGCTCGAAAAGCAATTTATTTAAAAACAACACACCGCGCCGAAATTCAATTTTTTGGAGAGTTCCACGCAGCCATGTTGAACTTGATCATGATGTTGTACGGGAGGAAGGGGCGAAAGAGAGTTACTCGAAAAGGAGAAGCATGATAAACTTTGGATGGAATTTATGTTTTAACAGAAGATGAAGACATTTACGACCCTGTTTAGCGGTAGGAACAATGTACAAAATTTTATCATTTGTCGTTGAATGAATAATTGCCTCTGCTACTGATAATGTTACTGTTCCTTAGTCTGGGCTGTACACATAAAATGTCTGGCAGTAAAAAGGTTTGGGCAAGCGCTATTTACATTTTGTAATAATTATTTAACACTTTTAACCATCTAACTTAAAGATGGATTTTAACCAGAATTTTCTCGTTTGGGATTGGTTTCAGAATTTTTGTCACCAAAGTGTTCTTCTGTTCAGCATTTACAGAGAGTGTTGTACAATGTAATAAATTATTTATTTGTTTCTTAATGCCTACTCAAGAATATATTGAGCACTTATTTTGATTATTTAAATAGTTGCAGTGTGGACTGTGCCTGATACGAATACCCATAACGCCGGCTATGTAGACAGCTTGTGAAAATGGTGAGAACCATACCGCTTAAATTTTCTATTATCACAAATAAACAATGTTTTATTAACTTGTATCTTTATGCATAAGAGTATAAAAAAATATTGCAACAACTTGAAATGCTATATACCAAGTAGACAATACGAGGTTTATATTCTTATTTTCCTTATCCTAAAAATACAATAGCAATGGATTCTGAGCTCTGCATAATTTTTTACGTTAAATACGTAAGCATTCATGAATTATTAAAAATAGCTATCACATTCCAGGGGCTGACAAATAGATTTTAAAGGCACTTGCCCAAGGGCAAGTACATGGTCAAAATTCACTTGCCCTACCTGAATTTTTGCCTGCCCTACCGTTAACTTATACTGATTTATAAATATATATAAAAAAATACTGAGTAGAATATTGGCATACATATTTATTTTATTTTTGATAATTGATAAAGTCACTTGCCCACGGGCAAGTGGTTGATAAAATTTCACTTGCCCAACCCCAAAAATTCACTAGCCCCGGGCGTCGGGCAATGGGATTTGTCATCCCCTGCATTCTATGATGCACAATTATGCATGCATTATTTACAGGAATCCAAATGCTCACAAGAAATGACAAAAGCAGTATGAAGATTAACACAACGGTAAGATTTCTTAAATTTTCTGATAAGATCAATAAAATCACATGAATTGATTTATTTTAGCTCACCTGAGCCATTTTAAGACCCGAGCGAGTTTTGTGTTCTGTGTCTGGTATTCGTCAGTCATCTATAAACTTTTCAAATTTTTACATTCATGAGAATTATTCCTAGTTTGAATAAAAATCCCTGCAAGATACATCTTTTCTTTCAGAAATTGTGCCAGAAAAGTTTGAAGTAGCTATGGGAATGATCAACATTGAACTTGCTGAGGCTCTCTTCCTGAAAGTGACTTGACCAGATATTTGGCTACCAAGTATGAGGTACGAACTAATCATTTGTTGTACAACTTATTGTGTATGAGATTGCCACCATTTACTGGAAGTTTGCATTTTTTGTCCACTTTAAAAACTTGCTATCTACAGTGTAAGTTGTTAATATATTTTACTTTATGTTAAATCACTTGTTCATTATCCCAATAACTTGCATGTTAAATGCAGTAGATGCTAAGTTTACTCTTAAATTCCATGTGTTCCGAGTATGTACACCCATTTGATATCATGTTTTGTCGTCTCTAAATTTAATATAATACATATCATAATATGTACTAGATCACAAAGTTTGAGGATTTTATTATTGTATGAATGTTATCTACTTGCTCTATATCATAAATACATCTTTTTGTATATTTTTTCTACGAGATGCCATACCTGCTTTTAATTTTCATATTTTTTTTTATCCATAGTATCTTTCTGCTACATTTAATAAAATATCGTGGAGGAACATGAAGAAAAGGGCTGCGCACCTCAACATATTCAAGGTAAGCAGGTAAATACATTGGTAAATTGCTAAAAAAAAAAAAGATGGCAAAAAGTCACCAGTCCCCAATTTACATGTACTTCCACAAATTCTGCAGCTTGCTGCTGTGAAACTATATATATGTGTGTCTTAATATGATAAATGCTGTAAATGCTATTCTTTGCATTTTCCTAAACTTTGTAAATCTTCAAATTCCATGTGCTCGGACTACGGTACCATTATGTATGTTTCATATCATATTTTGTCGTCTATAAATTTGATCTATACATATAATTATATGTTTTTTTTTATGCAATTCACTTAACTAGATGACACAGAGAATTTTTTTCATTGTGTAAAATGTTTCCTCTTGCTGTAGTCATGTTAGTCATAAGTATACCCTGTTTGTATATTTTTTCTCCTTTTTTGTATATTCTTTCTATGGAGAGCCACACCTGTTATTAACTTTTCATATTTTGTTTATGACAGCTTTTTACCATATCCATAGTATCTTGCTGCTAAATGAAAGAATTAGTGTGGAGGAGCAGAGAAAAGGGCACCATAACATGTTCAAGCTTAAGCAGGTAAAATGATCCAAAAAAAAAAAGATGGTGAAAAAATTCATTAGACCCAAATTTACACGCTTCGAAATCTGTAGCTCGCTGGCCTGAAATTATAGATAATTATCTGTCGTTATTACCCAGATTTGAAAAAATGGCATATCTTTTGTAGTCTTCTGTAAATTTTTAATTAAGCAAAATTGAGCTGTGTTTCCTCTAGGTCAAATGATAATTTTAAAATCAACTCAGATTTTGTTTTTACTATTTAATATATGCAATTGCATAAATCCGGAAGCACACATATAATATGTATATATAGGCAAATGGGTATTTATTTTTTATGTTTATTGTAGGAATTAGGAGCTAGGTGTGCTTCTACAGAGCTGAAAACTTCTTGGCATGAAGAGAAGAAGAAGCGAGAAAAAGCAGTTTTAAATATTGATTACATCTTCATAGTACAAAAAATGATTCTAAAGATAATACTATCTATGAAATTAGAAAGCTGAAGTTGCGTTCTGATGAATGTGAGAATGTCTTCAAAGAACAGGACACCAAAAGTGCCATTCTCAAATCAAAGCACTCTAAAAGGCAGAGCATAAGAAGAACTAGGACAAATAAAGTATCTAAAAGAGTCAAACCTATGGATGTATTAATTGAACAGAGATGGGCTATTAGAGATGAAATATCTGAGTTGCTACTGTTTTGCACAAATTCAATGTTAGATAAGAAAAATATACCTAGTGTTGTATTTTTGACAGTGAAAGTTTTTTCTTATGCTTGATTACAGATTAAAACTGTTATGTATTTTATTGTTTAAACATTTATTGGTCTGCCATCACATACATTTTAATCTTGATTTATATATCACATATATGTACAAGTCTAACTTAAATAATAAGTGCATGGACATTATTGTGGAAAAAATAAGACAATCATGATCAAGGGTAGTCTGAAAGAGCTTTGCTGGCAGTAAGTTGCAGATCTTGATACCCAAGTAAGAGAAAGGTGGCGTCTCTGACCGATCCTTTTGCTGTTGCTTGTGGGCGAGTGAGGCTTCTCTGTCAGTGGCTTAGTGAGTCATAGATGTAAAAAATAGAATAGGCAAATGAGGTAGAGACATTTCTCAGTAAAAAAGGGGTAAATTGTGATTTTAATAAATATTACAATTGATATTGCAAGAGTAAATAAATGAGAATTGCAAAAGAGTAAAATATTAATTTGTTTCCTTCCATTTGAAGTAAGAGAGTTTATGAATTATGAGTTATGGAATTGTAATTAAGGCTTAAAAAATTGTTAAATATACTTTTACATATGTTTATACAGGACTTTTATATGTGCATGTTTCAGAGCTCATTTTCGATATTTTAAAGCAAAGTTGAAATTATCACTATTGAAATGTTTTGCTGTCCAATGTAACGATTTAATGAGGATATGTTATATTACAATCATCATGCAATAAACCTAGCAGTTGGAACAAAAATGAGCTTTATGTATTGTAAACAAATTTAAGCTGCTATTGTTTTGTGTTATTGTGATACTTTTTCCTTAATTTGAATTGACATAACCAAATGATATAAAGGATTTTTTTGGGTCTTGTATTTTTCACAGTCAACATTAAGTATTTTTCAAGTTGAACTTGGATAATTAGTGCATGGACATCTATTGTTGAAATACTTGGGAAACAATATAAGGGTGGTCTAAAAGAGCTTTGCTGGCAGTAAGTTGCAGATCTTGATACCCAAGCAAGAGAAAGGTGGGGTCTCTGACCGATCCTTTTGCTGTTGCTTGTGGGCGAGTGAGGCTTCTCTGTTAGTGGCTTAGTGTGTCTTATTAAAATGTACATGTAAAAAGAATGGACAACTTTTATTCTTTTTATGCTAAGTATGATATAATTTATTGTGGGAAATTGAAAAGCCATTTACAACCCATGCAGAAGTTTTAATAGGGGCAGTTTCAGTCAGATTTTGCAGTCTTTTGGAGTCCAGAATGACTACATTTTTTACCTGTTGTGTTCTGATTTATTGCGGATTTGATTTTTACATACAATACTATTCTTATATTATTTATAATTACTTCAGTATATTACTTACTACTAGTATGTAGAAATTTACTCCATTATAATTGAGCTACAATCATGATTGCAAATTTTTAAATTCTGACTTTTAGGCTTAAATTTGAAATATTTTGTACTTTGTTAGAAGTCATTGTTTGTACACTATTGAGATAACATCTAATAAAATTGAATGAGAAATGGATTTGTGTAAGATTGTAAAATACTTGCCAAAAAACCCACAATTGTAAACCATACAAATTATTGATGGAATAAATGTAAAATAAAAATATTATGCAATTATAATATAATAATGTTAAATTTCATCAAATACAACCTTAAATCTTAATTATATGGGAAGGTTTAATCCGTACATTTTCATCACATATACAAGAGATTTAATATTAGTTTATGAAAGAATAAAATTTGCACGTATTAGTAAGTTTACAATTCTCCGTATATAACTTTATTTTTGGAAGTATTATAAAGTAAAGTGTGAATTTAACAAAAAATAATGAGGTAAAGATCTACGTTAAATTCTATTAAACGAACAAATTTAATGTGACCGTAAAACTTAATTTTATGGCCATGTTTAATAATAATTATACGTTTTGTATATTAGAGGTATAATAATTGTTTACGGCAGACTAAAATCCGAACGTATTAGTAAGTTTACAATTTTCCAAACTTTATTAAATTTGTTCTTTTAATTTTTCATTAAACTCGTATTAAATGCTAATTATTTTCTAACATTTACGATCCCACAATATGTTATAATATGCATTTAAACATTAAATAATCGCAGCATTTAAATCACATTTAAGGTAAAATTAAACCCGACTTTTCATGCAGTGTTCCGTTTAATTTTTTTTTTATGTCTGTTTTCCTTAATTCATTCAACAAAGCTGCACGTGTAATACGAAAATATTGATAGAAATCGGTAAATACCGTCGCCGTGCTGTGGTCTTCAACTTAACATTCAGATATACATGTATCTACGACGTAAACAATGGTAATTCCCATTCCTACGTAGATAGGATATATTATGGTGAGCTTGAGACACATCTGTTTCATACTTGGACATTTTTCTTAAAAAAAAAACGTTAATGGTAATCTCTCATGTTATATGATGAGTTTAACTTTTCTATCGTCAACCTCCTTTACTGATGCAGCAATATACCTTCAGAACCTGCATAAGGACTGTATATATCTTAGTTGATTCGACACGCAAGGGTATGTTCTACGTAAGAACAATGCATACAAAAACACGATTGATGGCTTTGGATTTTAGTAAAAGTCAGCAAATAAACAATTATATTACCATAAATAATTTACTTATTTCATTGAAATATATACCGTATAACGGGTAATTTTTACTGCTGTAAATTTTAACTTCTGTGAAATGTTATGCGTTTAAATTTTACGGATATTTAAAACTCGTACAAATTAGTAAAAATAGCAGCACGTAAGAAAAAAGCACACGTTATACGGTAATTTTATAGTAAAGTTAAAACCGTTCATGTATTTCAGCAAAACACCTTAATTTTGTAAAGGAAATAATAAAAACCAAATTATTTTTTTTTAAACATTGACAGAAAACATAAAATTGTGAACTTCGGTATGTGTTGCAATAGAATTTAATGGTGACTTAATTAATAAACAGAAATTCATCGTTTGTATTCAGACAGAGATTATAAAACCCAATAGTAAGGTCAACACCTTTGTGTTTGATTTACTAATTGTACGGATATCAAGAGTAACTTAATGCAATGTAGGTCAGAATTAAATTTCATTCAACTTTAGTGTTGATTTCAGCACAGTATAAAGGGATATAATTCATACAATATCTATGAGAAGATAATCAATAGCACCGTTTTGATTACTAGATAACTTTTAATCTATGTCA